AGAAACCCCCGTTGGTTTTGTCGTCTCGCCCTGTCGCCCCCGACGACCACCCGAAATTGGATTCGACGCCTTAAGAAGGGGGCCGAAACAGCTCCACGATGGGCCCAGAAGGAGGCCAAGAAGCGATCCAACATGGCCCCAGTTGGATCGGCGCGGCCAGGGCCCCCTGCCCACGTGACCGACGTCGCCCAATATGACCCCGCTAGCCTGCCCGCGCAAACCCGAGAGAGCCCCGGCGCGGCTTCAATGCGCCAGCGACAAATCCAATTGGGCTACGCGGGGCTTCCAAGATAACCCTCATCTTCCAATTGCTGGCCCCCTCGTCCTCCTCACCCCGCGCCCCCCTCATCCTGCTCATCCACCCCTTCTTTCGCTCGCCAGGGCCTCCGAGCCATGCGCAGTCGACCCCTGGGTCTGGCCTGGCGGATGCAAAACTTCAGATTGACGGCTTCTGCCCCCCTCAATGTTTCACAGCGTGTTCTACGCCCCCCTGGCCAAGGCATCGCGCGTCGGAATCGAGGCTGGACGGACTCCAGGCGAATCCAGCCGCGGCGACGCGGGCGACCCATGGCGAGCTGCGGCATCGATATGTTCACCGATAAGAGCCGGCGCAATTGGATTTGCGCATGCGTTCGCGCGCCATGGCAACGCTTAGCTGGTTTAGCTAACGGCCAGCCGCCGCCGCTCGCGCGCGGCCAAGCGCCGGGCGCAGCCGAAAATGGCTCAAGAGATAGAGGAATGGAGAAAAAGAAATGGAGGGTAAAACGAAGAAGAAAATTAAGAGGATGATCGGGACGAGGACGAGGATGAGGAAGAAGAGGAGGAGGAGGAGGAGGGGGAGCGAGGGGGGGGAGGTAGAGGAGGTAAAGGAGGAGGAGGAGCAGGAGCAGGAACAGGAGCAGGAGCAGGAGCAGGAGGAGGAGAGGAGGAGGAGGAGGACGAGGACGAGGAGGAGGAGGGTGACGAGGAGGTCATCCTCCACTTGGAGGGGACGGAAGAGGAGGAGACGGAGGAGGAGGAGGAGGATGTTTGTTGTTTTTGTTTTTCTATTTTTCTTTGTTGTTTGTTTCTGTTGTTTAATTTTTTCATTGTTCTTGTTGTTGTTGTTGTTTTCGTTTTCTTTGTTATGTTTTTTTTCTTGTTTTGGGGGGGGGCTCAAGCTGCGAGACACAAGTGGTATCCCCGCGAGTGAATCCGGCTCGAACCAGACCGCCGCATGCCGAGCATTTGGAAGCCGTGGAACGAAGCGAACCCGAAAATACTGGTTGCTTCGATGTAAGTTCCCGGCAAGCAGGAACTACTTCATTAGCAGTGCTGCGGCAGCGCATCGCGGGCCCGGTGCGGGATTGCCACACATCGAGCGGCGGAAGCCACCAGCAGCAAGGGCGGGAGCTACCCGCACATTGGCTACGCCAGGAACATCCCGATCCCGTACTCCGAGTACGTTGGTGGAGAGGACATCAGGTAGTCGTTCCAGGCGCGTGCGCCCTCACCGGATTGACTCAGAGCCAGCTTACAGAACCCCTCGAGCTCCGTCACCGACTGAATCACGTCTGCGGAACTGCGCGTCTCCGCAGTCCTCCGGCGGATGCGTTCCGACAAGATTGTCAACTTGTCGTACATCCTGTGGATCGCAGCATGGGCGACCCGCTGGCTCACAGTGCCGTCGATCACAACGCACTTTGACAAGGTGCGGCGGGTCGCGGTCAGCGCCATGTCCCCTTCTGCGCCTGCGCGGTAGGGGTTGAGCGCGAGCTGGAACAGCCTGTGCACGCGGTTGTCCTCGGGACTTTGCAGCATGTGAGAAAACGCTGGCCACCGCTGGCAATCGAGGCATTCCCACCCCTCACGGAAGAGCGGGACGGGCAGCCCATGGAAGAGGAGGAGGAAAATAAGGACGAAGAGGATATGGCGAGGAGAAAGAGAAGGAAGGCGCAGTGCACCCCGCGAGCTTTCGGGAGTCCACGGGGCTTCCCAAATTCACCCAGCTTTTCTCCAATGTCCTCACCCAAAAAGGGGGGGGAGGGAAGAGGCACCCCCGTTTCCTGCTCATCGCTCTCTGAACACACCGCAATGAATCCGAGCGCTGTTCTGCACGATCGCGCTCTCCCGCTGCCGTGGCTCTGGCGAGTTTGTTTCAATCGCGCGCGCGCGCGGTTGGCCGGGCGATGAAACTGGCGCGGACGCAACGCCCGAGGGCAAGGTTTGCGCGCGTCCCCAGACGCGTTCGAAAACAAACGCCACGAACACCAAAGGCAACGAGAAACGGCAAACCAAAACCGCCATCGCCGCAGCTGCTGGCGCCACAAAAAAACGGTCGTAGATCGGGCGTCAAAGGTGATCGGCGGCAGCCCGCCCCCCACCGAAAGGCCGGGGCGCCCGGAGCGGCCAAACAGGAAGCGGATATGTCGTTCCATTCCTTCTCGTGTTCGCCCTCCTCCTCTCCACCGCAATTTCCCCTGCGCCCCCCGTCCGCCCCCGCCGCCGACTCTCCTGTTCTCCCGCCGTTTTCGCTTCCAGATTGATGTCTGCGTCGTCATCGTCGTCGTCGTCCTCCTTCTCTCCCTCCTCCTCATTGTCGCCCTCCTCCATCGTCCTCGTTCTCGTCCTTATCCCCCTCCTCTTCCCCCCCCCCGCCCCCCCTCCACCCCCCTCTACTTGATATGTTCCCGCCCTCCGAAGCCCGCCCTTCAACGGCCCCTGGAGAAGGCGAGCATGGGCGGGGGAAACAAGGTTGTACGCGGGAGAATCTAGGGCCGCGGCGCGCAAGCTTGAAGGTCCACCACGAGATGTGCGAGCTGAGCAAAAAGCACAGCGCCACCGTCACCGCGGCAGACTACCCGAGCTTGTGCGACCACAACACGGGCCCTCTCCAAGATTCTTCTGTCAAGACAAACATGGGACAACGTCGCCGCTGCGCCGCGAGGCACTCTGCGCGGCGCCCGCAAGTCGTCCCGAACCGGGCACGTCGAATACAGCGGGCGCTCTGTGCAAAGCCCAAGCCGGCCAATGAATTCTTCGCGCTCTCAGGCGTTCACGGGATCATGGGCCGCGGCCCCCCCCCCCCCGGAACAGAGAGGCCCAAGCCCCAGGGCGGCCCGAGAAGGCCCCGAGACAACTCGACGCCGCCCAGTCAGGCCCCCCAAACGGACACCAGCGTGGCCCGCGCGCGCCCCGAGATTGCTGCAGGGCGCTGCGCGGCGGCCCAATGTGGCCACTGCGATCGTCGCTGGAAGCGCGCATCGCGCAGTTCCTTTGACTTTGCGCGGGATTGCCGCGCGTTCGTTGCGTTCCCCAAAATCGACCCGGGAGTTTCTTCAAACTGGGCGCCGAGACGGCCACCACCATCGCAAACTTCTCGGCCTCTAGAGGCCAAGACCGCGCCCAGGGCAATCAGAAAATTCCCCTGGATGACGAAACCGACAAAATCGTGACAAACTGGTCCCCGGGAAGGGCTCGAAAGATCCAGGGGCGATTTTTTTAATTCGCCGGAGGTCTGGGGCGGCAGAAGCGGCATCAACAGAAGCAGCAGCAGGAGCAGCAGCAGCGTCGAAAGCAGCTGCCCCCGGCCCCCCAGGATCGAGGGGAGGTTTTCTCGGGCCGAACGGAAGGGGGGGATAGGGGAAGGGGGGGTCACGACATCTGCTACATGCAGCTGGTTTCGGCCCCACCGCCTGGCCCATTCCTCGACCCACGGGCGCCTCCCGGCGCCGGAAGGCGCTGGGAAAATCAGCTACGTGAGCTGATTCTCTACCCTACCCCTCGGGAGCCCTGAGACGGGGGTCAATGCAAACGGGGGCCAGCCAGAGCGCCCGACCTTGCAGGATCCTGCAAGGCCAGGGGTGCACTGACCCGGGCTCGGGCGCAGGATCCTGCAGGACCTTTCAGGATCCTTCGCGTTGACCCGGGCTTGGGTGCAGGATATTTGCAGGATCCTGCATGGTCTGACTCACCCAGGCCTGGATTGACCCCGGGTCAGAAGATCCCCGAACCCCAGAATTCGGACAGCTTCCGGTGGTTTCAAAACGTTGTCGGGTCTTCGGATGCCTCGCGGTGCCCCAGCGATCCCTCTCAGCCTCCGCGGTCGGGGCCCGGGGCGGGAGCAGCACCTACCGCCAGCAGCTGGCGTAAGAAAACCAAGGATGGGGCAACAGCCCTAGCGGCGGCAGAGGCAACAACAGCAGCTGCGGCGTCTCCTCCTCCTCCTCCTCCTCCTCCTCCTCCTCCTCCTCCTCCTCCTCCGTCTCCTCGTCCTCCTCCTCCTCCTCCGTCTCCTCGTCCTCCTTCTCTGCCCCGACCTTCGCCCTGAACACAGGGCCCCTAGATGACACCTGTGACACCACTGCCCAGTGAGGATCGAGTAAGAATACAAAATCTTGCGCGTGCTTCCGTCGAGGCTTTTCCAGGGAGAGTAGGTTATCATCGGATCGCGAACGCGCTAAGTCGAAGCCACGTGGCAAAACAAACTAGAACATGCGAGGTGCCAGATGCAAATGTGCTAGGTGCCACTTAGGGCGGTTTAGGTTTGTATGTATGTGTGAATGTATGCGTGTATGGATGTATGTATGCATGTATGTATATAAGTACTGTATGTGTGTACGTATGGCTGCATGTATGTATGCATGCATGCATGTACGTATGTACGCAGACATATATATGTGCGTACACACATGTATATATATATATACATACGTCGGCGGTCAGCGAGGGGGACATGAGAAGGAGAAAGCCTTCTCAAAAAGCTGCGGGACCTCTCAGGAACAAACGCGTCTTCTGAAAGGCGTCCCCCGAAGATTCTGGGAAAGCTTCGAAGATGTCTCAGACGACCGGGTAACTTCCGAGCCTTCTGAGAAGGCCCGCCCTTTTCACTTCCCCTCCTCGCTCGTCGCCGAATCAATATATGTATAGATGCACCTACTGATACATTCAACAAGAAATACACACTATATGCGTATGTGTATACATATACACATATACATAACAGATTCCTCAACGGAGACCTGGTATCTGGCGGCACCAGCGCCAGGCACGGCGCCGAAGAGGCCAGCCCCAGCAGCGGCCCCCCCGAGGCTGAACTGCAGCTGCTCCATGCCCGGCAGGTTGCCCGGTACGGGCGGCAGGGTGGGCAGGTGGCTCATGGACCCTCGAAGCGGCAGGGAGGCACCGCGCAGCGCCAGCTCGGAGGGGTCCCTCGAGCGTCTGCTGTGCAGTCTCAGGGGTTCTGGTGCGCGGGGTGGTTGGGGACGGGGCTCGTTCCTGCTCTTCCCCGCTCCTCCCGACCCTGGTGGACAGCGTCAGCTCGGGCAGGGCCAGCTCAGTGTGGGGGGTGCATCAACCCAGAACCGGCAATACATCGCTGACAGATCGGCGACAGGCCCCCGATAGCGAATCCGAATGATCCCTGGCGGGATGGGCTACATCATCCCCTACTGGCGATGGATGGGCGAGTGGGGGAAGGTGCACCCCTCCTGAGCCCACCCCCCCTGAACGTCGCTCCTGACATCCCCCCCCCTTCACACACATCCACCGCCGACAGACTGGAACCGATGTCCCACATCCGGGACCTTCGGGCCGGGCGAAAGGGGGGAATTACAAAGGGGGGGTTGAGAATCAGCTCCCGGCGCCCCCGGCGCCGGAAGGCGCCCATGTATCGAGGAATGGGCCCGGCGGCAGGGCCGAAACCAGCTGCATGCAGCAGATGTCGTAACCCCCCCCCTTGCCTATCCCCCCCTTTCGTCCAGCTGGAGACCTACAAGATTATTGCTCACTGTCTCGCTGGCCATCGCTCGGACGTCCATTCCCTGTGTTTTTTGTCGAATTCGTGCGTGGCATTTTCGCCAAATGATCAAGGATGCTCCTCGATGGCCCTCGCCGAGGAAAAAAGCACACGTCCGAGCGATGCCAGGCTCCAGGAGTCCTGGGACACCCGTCCCCCCGGCCACGGATCCGCACACGCCCTCGAGCCTTGGAGCCTCTCTCCGGGACAGGAGCGGAGCGCGCACCGGCCAGTCTGTAGCACGGCCCCACTTGAAGGGCAGCGTGGGCGAGCTGGGGCCCAAAAGAGCGGCGCGCCTCTGGAATATAGGAAAGATCCTCCTCCTCCTCCTCCTCCCCCTCCTCGTCCTCCTCCTGCTCCTCCTGCTCTTCCTCCTCCTCCTCCTTCGCCACCTCCTCCTCCTCCTCCTCCTCCTCCGCCACCTCCCCCCCCCTCCCTCCTCCCTCCTCCTCCTCCTCCTCCTCCTTCGCCACCTCCTCCTCCTCTTCCCTCCTCCCTACTGGTGCGAGCCAGTCGGGAAGATAGGACGGAGATGTGGCACTGCGTTCCAGGGGCGCAAACATGAGAGGAGCCGGAATCGGAGAGAGGTGAGAGCCGGAGTCGGAGAGACGGCCAGAGAAGGAGAGTACGGGAAGCAGGAAAAGAGCTTGGAGACGTGGCACTTCGCTGCGGGGTCGGAGAGACGAGAGCCGGAGTCGGAGAGAGACGACCAGAGCAGGAGAAAAAAGAGCACGGGAAGCAGGAAAACAGCTTGGAGACGTGGCACTTCGCTGCGGGGTCGGAGGCAGAGGAGCCAGAGTCGCAGGCGTGGGAGCCCGAGTCGGCCAGGCGACTCTTGAGGCTGGAGTCGGAGCGGAAGGCGCAGGAGTCGGAGCGGAAGGCTGGAGACGTGGCACCGTGTCAGTTCGTTCTGGGGCGAGGGGCGTGGGAGCGGGGTCGTGGGTGGCGCTGGAGCGAGGTCCTGGGGGCGAGCATGAAGTCGGGCGTCCCCCTACAGGGGGATTTTCGACGAAGAATATTTAAAAATATTAAGTAGATACTCCAAAATAGCCTGGGGTCTGGGGAGCATGTTTCTACTATTCTTTTACCTTTTTGAGGTATTTGGGGGGGTACTTTCTATCTTCCGCCAAAAATCCCCCTGTATAGGGGGACAGGCCCGACCCGAGGCAAGCAACAGCCGGAGCCGCAGAGAGGCTCGCAGAGTCGGAGAGAGGCAGGCCCCGGCGTCCTGGCCATCGCTCGGACGTCCATTCCCTGTGTTTTTGTTCGGTTTCGTGCGTGGCTTTTTCGCAACAAAAATGATCAAGGATGCTCCTCGATGACCCTCGCCGAGGAAAAAAACGCACACGTCCGAGCCATGCCAGGCGTCGGAGAGGCAGGCGCGCCAGGGCCGAGCGGGCTCCAGGCAGGAGCTGCCGCAGGACACGCCAAGGAGTCGGCCGAGAGAGAGAGAGAGAGCTGCGGCCGTGGGCCCGGACGTGCGATCTCTCCCCTCCCCGGCTTCTCTGGCCGGAGCGTGCCCTCCTCCTCCTCGTCCTCCTCCTCCTTCTCCTCCTCCTCCTCCTCCTCCTCCTTCCCGAGGCTCGGCCCTCACGGGCAGAGAGGGGGCCCATTGCAGGAGCACGCAAGCAGGTGGACACAGAGCCCGGGCCCCGTCGTTTGCCCGCACGTTCGGGGTGCTCGTCCTCCCCCCCACAACACCCGTCTGACTCCCAGATGCTCCCGGGAGTCGACGATTGCTCGTGTCTGTGTGTGTGTGTGTGTGTGTGTGTGTGTGTGTGTGTGTGTGTGTGTGTGTGTGTGTGTGTGTGTGTGTGTGTGTGTGTGTGTGTGTGTGTGTGTGTGTGTGTGTGTGTGTGTGTGTGTGTGTGTGTGTGTGTGTGTGTGTGTGTGTGTGTGTGTGTGTGTGTGTGTGTGTGTGTGTGTGTGTGTGTGTGAGTGTGTGTGTGTGTGTGTGAGTGTGTGTGTGTGTGTGTGTGTGTGTGTGTGTGTGTGTGTGTGTGTGTGTGTGTGTGTGTGTGTGTGTGTGTGTGTGTGTGTGTGTGTGTGTGTGTGTGTGGTGGTGTGTGTGTGTGTGTGTGTGATGGTGTTGGTGTGTGTGTGTG